GAACTAATAAAGAAAATCATCATCATCTCCGGATTCTCCATCAAATTCCAACATGGGAGTGGTGTAGCGGGTAGAGGTATTGCTGCTACGCTACGCCGCTACCTTTCGCTACGGCCAATGTTGCGTAGCGTCGCGGTTTGTAGCGGCCGACCGCAGCTACCCGCTACGGTAGCGGTTTAGCAGCGCTACAGGCCGCTACTGACAACCTAGCTACTAATACAGTGCACATTAGACAGGAGTTGAAACCACCCTTAGCTGGAAAAACTGACTTAAAACTTCGCTCAAGAAATTACAAAAATAAATAAATGTGTGCTAGTGTGTGAGTGCATATAATTTAATATGATACAAAAGTATTAAAAAATGCGATCACGCAAGGATCATGGATCAAAATAAATTATACAACTTTTCACGGATCTCGGGGTAAACACTTATAATATCTTCTCATCAGTTTCAAAGTGTTCCAATTTGGATAATTTCCCGGTAGTTATTATCTCCTGAATCTGCACATAGAAAACATGATTGCTTGTGTTGTTATCTGGCCAAAAGTAAAAGAAAATCATAAATCATTCAATAGGAAGACACACAAAAGTCTTATTGATGTCCAAATTCAGATTGTTGTACGATCAATGGAGAGTAAATAAGCATCATAACATAATATTAGAACCAACTAACTATCTGATAATAACATCATCATTTGACGACCCAATACCAAACATCCTGAAAAAGCCAAGAATCATAGAGAAATTAGCACACTAATACTAAATTGTCATCTTAAATGGACCCCCAGCATAACCAGACGACATATGCACCTTTATTCCCACAATAATAAATGACAACTGGGAGGATATCATATAAGATAGAAATGATATTTTCCACTAGAGACAGCTGAAATTTTAGATAAGAAAAATGTAATAGGACAGAAGAACATTTAAGTAGTAGCAACTAATGTTTGGAAACCAACAATATATATTGTCATTCAAAGTGGCAGTAGATAAAACTACATGAAGTGCAGTGTAAGATAGCAGCCAAGTAGTAAAGACAGAATGTCTAGTCACATAGTTCACTTACATGATCTTTCATTGATTTTCCAATTGACGGAAGGTTTTTTATCTGGTCAGCACTTTCAATTTTAAATGGCAACTTCTCAATCACTGCAATAGCCTTGTAATAGCTGAAAGACCTCCGATCATTACCCAATGCTTTAAAACAGCATTATCACAATAAACAAGAGCTTGAGAATAAAATAAAATAAAAAAGTAGGAGCTATATTAGCCTTGCCTCTATATATGTTCACAAGTTTGCCAAATATCTCTGTTTTGTTCTTGTTTAGATCAGGTGGACAGTATGGCAAGGATGACTGCAATGTTCTCCCTTTGTTAGAAGTGTTTCAAGAAGAAGGCATAAAACTCAGAGTTTGAGCTTAAAGATAAACTATATTTCATAAATGTATGTGCTTCAAAGCCATTTGCATTAATTACCCTCCAGGTGTGCGTAAGTGTGTCATGCATAGGGTATAGAGGTTGTCAAGATATGCATGTGAGCATGTGCATAAATAGATAATTAGATACAGTTATATGGCACTAGATATTCAAAAAAATATGGAACTTAAATTTTGTCATAAGCTTATTCTATTAAACAGTAGGCATATAGATCTTACTGCCTCATTTGCAGCATCAAGGTGTTGAGGTCTTGTGTTTGCATAACTTAAACTGTCAACTTCACCCTGACTGCTTGTCGTGCTTGTTGATGAAAATAGCTCGTTTTCTCTTCTATCTTCAATATTTTCAAGATTTACAATATTTGTATCCTCATAAGGTGATTTGATGTTTTTATTCTGTAATTGCTGAGGATCGCTAGAAATGTTCCCATTAGTTTGCTCAGGGTCCAAAGACTTATCAGGTATATCTTCACCTTGAGGATCCAACTTCAGTACATACATATCCTCAGATAGTTTCTCCCCTGATTTCAAGCAGTCTTCCAGCCATTGATAAAGGAGAATTCTCTGCACAAAGCATCATTAACCAAAAAGGGTAAAGCCACGTAGAAGCACATTCTAAACATAAAAATAGAAATCCACATTATGCACTTCAAAGGTGATTGTTACGCAAACAAAATAGATTTCAGTGTATACAAGTCAAAGTACAACATACAAATTCCATAAAAAAAACAGCTCAAAACATAATTAAGCCCTTCAAATACTATTAGTAAATATCCATTTTCGTCCTTGAATGATATTAGCAACATGACATCCCTATAATAATAAATACATCAAATTAGTACTTCAAAGATATACAAAACATCAAAACCAAATTGGTCCTTAAGAAAGCATCCCCATTGATGATAAATGAAGGGCCAAAATGAGTGCTTACTCACTACTATTACTATATTTGCATCCCCATTGAAACAATTGCAAACTCAACCACTCATAAATTACAAAAATTTAAAAGTTAAAATAGGAAACCCCTTTGAAACGTGACAAACGCTCCCTGTCCAATTCCTGGAGAATGGAATCTGAGTCCATAGCAAAAACATGAGTGACTCGTTTGGATAGAAACTCCTCTATGATAGCCCCCATTTGCACCAACCTCTGCTTCCAAATCTTAGACAGAAGGAGAAAAAAGATACAAACTTTGGAATTGCAAATGGGTACTCATTGAAAATAAAAAAGTGGGTATTGAAAATGGAAAAAAACGCTGTCACAGTGATTAGCATTTCCGGTTGAAGTTTGCACCTGCAACCGACGAGCTTGAACTCCTTTTGGGACCAAGAAGACAACCATTCCATGAGATTGAGGGTTAGATTGTTTCTTCGTTTGTTTTGTCTTTGGCGCCATTTTGCTACGGTTTCTTTCTTCATTTGCTTCTAGCCTTCCACAACACGCATGGCCTGATTTGAGTTGGCTATGTTTGGGTGCAATCGAACTATGTCAGCGTTTGGTACAAGCTGCACGTGTTGTGCCCGATGTTGAACACGCGGATAAGAAGAAATGGAAAATCATTGATACAGTGACTATTATATACTATAAGATGTGATTTTGATTACTTTCTTAATTATCATTTAATTATTTATTACTGTATCATTAATTATTTTGATTATTTGTTTTGTGATTTTAATTTAAATCATCTTCTATTATTGAATAATAGGATATGATCTTATCAATTTTAATTTTCATAATTACTTTTTTTTATGTTGATTCTTCTTCTTGTTTTAACCTTTTTGTACTTTTTTAAATAAAAATAAATAAAATAATGTGGTTACTGCAACAGAGACCGGTAGCGATTAGCGACAATAAAGCACTAAAGCATGTAAAGTTACCTAATTGTTTCAAGGGTGTTATAATTCTCATTTGAATTACAATTTTCCTACACATCCTTCGATTTCCGTGCTGACATGGGTTTTACATATAATTTTTTCTAACAGATGGGTCCCACATGCTTTTTATCTCTATAATATGATATTTCAATTCTCCTTTAACATGAGAATTATAAAACCCTTCTTTTAATTGATAACTTTCACATAAGAATGGAGAACTTCTATGGTATTAACAAGTATTAGGCTTTTAATGGAGTCAATTAAATTGGATGACTACAGAATGAGAACTTTAGGCGAGAAGTAATGTGGATTGTGGAATTGCATGTGACATATTTTGAATTTCATTGATTGCTATCTTCAATAAATTCAACAGTGAAAAGTTGATACCTCTATGCATTTGATAAAGTGGGTTATTGTAAGTTTTTAATATTAATTTTACTAATGCTGTTATAAGTTTAACGAATGTGTAGACTTGTTCAAATCAAGAACGGACTTCATATGTATGAATTGATACTTTTTTCAAATCAAGAATTTGAAACAAATACATGAATGTATAAACTAGAAAAGAAAGATATTACATTTAAAAGAGGTAACATGGTTTCAAACTACTTAGGGAGAGAAACTATAGATATAATGAGCATGATAGCAAGGAATATTTCTCCTCGAACCCCTCCTCTGCTGGCAAGGAAAAGGGATTCAAATTCTCCGATTCAATCCTAAATACATGCATGCAGTAACAAATGACAACTATTACATGCTACTGACTACTACTATTATTTCCTCATAAATCAAATCAATCTGAAAACTAGTTATTATTTAGTAACGAGAAAAGCCAATGTACTAGCCATTCAAATTTCCAATCTTACCTGCATTCATCAAACTAATTACAATTGCATGGAATGACACAAAGACATCTAGGGAGAGGTTGTAAGATCTCAAGATCATCCCAAAGTGCCTTCAGTTGAGTGTAGAAATCAGAAACTGATCTTTCATCTTGTTGAATTCGATAAATCTCTTCTTAGAAATATGTTATACTAAAGATATATGCTTGAAAGAATCTCTATTGAAGATCTCTCCAAGCATATGACGCACAAAGGGATCATTGTGTTGCATCTTTGCCATGCATCATATATTGGATCATTCACATTAGGAACAACTATGGTGCCATACACGAAGCTGAGTTTGTTTTTCGATCGAAGAGCCACTTTCATTGCTCTCGACCAAGAGTGATGGTTCTTCCCATTTAACAAAGAAGAAACAAGAACCATGGATGAATTTTCACCTGCACGAAGGAAATATGGATTCCCTGGATACGTCAGATAGTCCTAAAGAACATTTGCCATTTTTAGAAAATAAGAGGAAGTGAGAAGAAAGCAGAAAGAGAGTAATGGAAGATTGCAACTAGGATGAATGCGCCAAATGAATACCAGAGCTCTTTTTTCATAGCTTTGTTACCATATTACCAAATGAGGAAAAGTATGATTTCATATTATGATCAAAGAAACTACACGAAAGATGATATATATATATATATCATCATATACAAGACGGAAGCTAACTGACTAAAGAATGAAAAAATAACAAATAACTAACTCTAACTTACTAACTTAATATGGTTACAACAGAAACTAAAAAGTATAACAAGTGAGTTGCTATGGCTATCATTAATATTTTTTCACCAACAATTATAACTCTTCACTTTCATTTTAAAGTAAACCTCATTTTTAAAGGAGTCAATTATATACATATATAATCATTTTTCTTTGGAGTTGCTTTCACTCGGACAGAAAGCATGTAAAAAGCAGGAGGAGATTAATACTCTTCCCTAGTATTTCGATTGTGGGATCAAACTAAACGAATATCAACAAAAACCATTTAATGTGGCACATGTGGGATCAATTTATCCTGGATTTTCTTTGGATTCCCAGTTCTCTCCTCTATCTGAATGGTCACTTTGACTCAATTCAATTCACACAAATAACAGTAGTATACAGCATATCAAGAATTTAGATGAGCAATGAGGAGACATCCCAAAATTGAAACCACTGTCACTAATAAAGTTCTTTGAATAACAGGGCATAAATGTCCCCCCCCAAAAAAAAAAAAAAACCATGAGCACTTTGTCGACAAGACCAGCTTCCAAAACACAAGAACAGTTGATAGGACAGACATTTTTCAGATATACCCTTAGGTTGGAAATCAACTTTCTAATCGTTCTGGATTTTCCCAAACATTTGTTCTAATTGTTTTTTTTGCTCGTAGTCTTCAACTCCTGGGCTCTTCAATGCTTTCAACTTTCTGTACCCTATATCAGTTCCAAATATCCTAATATGACAGCAAAAACGTCATGTACAGTGTCAGTATAACAAGTAAAACATCCAAATTCCAAGGCATCGCTAAACACCATCTTAGATTCCAACCATCACGAAAAATTGAAGAATTCTTTAAGCACAATTCAAAACTTACCTGTCCATGTAAGTAAAAGTTGATGAATAGTTCCCAGATTTGGTGTACAGCAAACGGTGATGATAGTCGTGAAAATCAGCTCTGTAAGTGAAGATACAACATTTAACAACAATAAGCATAATACCAGAATATAAACCTAATGGCTGGTGACTGGTGACTGGTTTCAGGTTAAGGAGAAGGAACTTCACACTCACCCCCCATACAATGGAATGAAGTTTGAGGGACTCCATGGAAAATGGTAACCGCTATGTGCCTCAACTGTCTCTAGGACTCTCAGCACCATCCATAACCAGAGAGTTATCAAGTGCGGCCCAGTGATGGCAGGACCAAAAATGGTTGCAAACCCAAGGAAAAGTATCTCAGCAGGATGAGCATATTCAGAAGTAAGTCCAAATGGAGTAGCATACCTTCACAATATAGCAAAAACCTATAGTAGTTTATAGATTATCAATATAATAAACCAAAACCCCAGAATACACATTACACTTACTCATGATGAACACTGTGTACATGCTTGTATAACCATTTTGTGTGCAATATCCTATGTCCCCAGTAGAATATAAAGTCCTCCAAAATGAAGTAAAAGATTATTTGAGTAAAAACTACTTTCCTGCAAAACCAAAATTAAATCTTGCTAAGTAAGCTTAAAGGAAACACATTCCAAATATTTACAGGAAAACCTCCTAACATGGGACTCCGATGTTTAGAATAATGTCAGTGCTCAAAGAACCTGAAAGTACCAGGATGGTAGGGGAAGACTACTCCGCATTCCCATGAATCTGAAGACAGGATATGAAAAAATCATAACAGGTAGATTGACACCAAAATGATAAAGCAACAGGCGAGCAATACACTTCTCCTGAGCTGCAGGACTATTAATTTTTGCCTGCATTAAAGCAAGCATTAGCAACAAAAGTAAATCTTAGTATCTTACCCAGTGATCCAACAGGAAAAATTGATTGCATACCATGATCAACAAAATTGAACTTTTATTTTCTTTTCTAAAGTACGTAACAATGTATTTACAAGTGAAAATGGAAAACAATTATCATTTCCTGCTGGTATCAGGAGGATTCAGTCAATACATTATTCAAATATAGTATCTTCAAGTATAGCATGTACAAGTCTCAAAAAGTAAACCATGCTACATACTTTTGGAGAGAAATGTTTCGGTATGGAACGGCCAACCAAAAGGTTGAGAATCAACACCAAAGGGCATTGTTAGAACATCTACCTATGTAAGAACACAGATAAGGAAGAAGAAATTGAAAAGAGATCTCCAGGAACTTTTACTTGTAAAGGCCCAGATAGTATTAGCATTGTTATTAGCACTACGGAAAACAGGGTAAAGTTAATAATTGATATGAAGAACATGGTGCGTGCTAAGGAATATTTATATCATGTCTAAGCAAACAATTCTGGAGCAGTTTAGTTATGAATGATGTCCTTCTAAAGAGAACTTTCTAAAATACTTTTAGAGAAAGGAAAGAAAAAACATAGAAAGATAAAGCATTGAATTTCTATCTTGGAGAACAAACGGAGGAATCATACAATATAAAGATAACAACAAATACCAACAAGGGTGCACCTGAATCTTGTACTTGCTCAGCCATCCTGCCCTCTCGAGCCATATAAAAGGAAGTCCAGATAAGAAGAAAACGCTTTCATGTAGAAAGAAACTTCCCAAACATGCCAGTTGAAAGTCACTGAAATGTGTGGTCAAGTACTGCAGTACCAAAAATACAAATCCAACGTCAAGAAGGAGGGGGGCAATAAAAAATAAAAATTTAGAAGTAGAAAAGAAAAAAAATAGAAACCCCGTGTTTTAATTTCAAAATTTATCAGTCACACTGATCTAAAAGAATCCAGTTGATAGCAGAGTAAGAACAACAATTCAACTTCCAAATAGAGCTTGGGCCAGCATTTTTCATAGTGGCATCAAAACACCCATGACAATGATAATGCATAGTTCCCATCACCATAGCCCCAAACAAGTGCCATTTCTCATTCCTAAATCTAATGTCTATGCTCTCATCAAGTAAAGCAAAAAATTAATTAAGTAATTAATTAATAAATAACAATCAATGCTTATGCTTACTGCCCCTGAAACCCATTGCTTAAATAGCATATGCACATCAAAATAAACCCTGACATCTACGTATAATTTGAAAAAGCTAATAAATTTGTCAAAAAAATCGCAGCATAAAAAAGTGGCTGTTGATGGGGTACTAGTAATTGTAGAAATTGCAAAGAATGAATGAATGAAGCAAGTGGGCAGAGAAGATAGAACCTGCCAACCAGATTCGATGATGGACGCCATAGATGATGGAATGAGAGAGCACGAGATTTCTGAGGCGGCAACGTGCGTGCGAGAGAGAGAGAGAGAGAGAGAGAAAGGTGAGTGGAAGTGATGCATAGTAGCATAACATATATGGGATGGGAGCTAAAGCCAAAGCGCAAGAACCACCTCTCAGTACCCAACAAGGTAAGACAGACTGTAATACCAAGTAATCATGCCACCTGTCAATACATTTTATAATTACAATTTTTTTTTTAAATGCATAGATGTTCACCTTCAAAAAAAAAAAAAAACAATTATCATATCGTAAGATATTATGATAAGAATAATTCAATAATATGATTTTTTTGACTAATCTTAGGACTATCTCAATTTTTAACATAATCTCAAGCTTAGTTGTTTGGTGGCGTGTAAGCATAAGATATATTAGTAGGCACATGATCACATGTTAAATTTTAGTTATATTTATATCAAACACTTGAGGTTAGCAATTTTTTAAATTTTGATGGAGATTAGCTATATTTTAATCCAAAAACAATCTCAAACCTTATTCCTTAATCAAGTTTTTTGGATTATTCAAAATTATATGTCAAATATTTTATTAGTAATTTAAAACCAAGGTTAATAAAATGTTAAGTAACTCATCAATTTATCAGCATTGGAAAAACAAACTTTAGGCACTCAAGATCTTGTTTTGAAATGTAACTGTAATCGAAGAAATCAGTTAATATCAGAAATGTAAGTTACACTGAAATTTCAAACAGAGACATCATTGCAATCCGTAGATGAAAACAAGAAAAGGAAAGGTGGAGATAGAGGGGACACAGACCATTTTGTCATATTTTGGCAAAAAAATTATTAGAATGCCACGCGAACAGTAAAATTTTTCAAATTGCCACGCGGCATAATTCGCTACACAGTGTAGCGAATTATGCATGCAAATAATTCGCTACTCAGTGTAACGAAATATGTCACGTCAGAACCAAAAAGTGCCATGTGTCAAAATTGTTGAAATTCGCTACCCTATGTAGCGAATTTCAACATTCTGACACATGATACTTTTTGGTTCTGACGTGACATATTTTGCTATACTGTGTAGCGAATTATGTCGCGTGGCAATTTAAAAAATTTTACTGTTCGCGTTGCATTCTGATAATATTTTTGTCAAAGCATGACATTTTGGTCAGTGTCTGGAGAGAGATGGAAAAAGAAAAAAAGAAAAAAGATAAGGCTGATGGTATACTTGTACAGTTTCTATTTTGCATTTTTTGGGGGCTACTTTTTGGGCATTTTTTGGGGCAACTTTTACAGTTCAGCTAATGTATTCCAAGCCATTTTCGCAGTCAGTGCTTTGTTTGGACTGAAGGATTTTTTACTCCTAATCCACCCTATTTTTGGGCTACAGCTAGGTGAACTTTTTCCCCTAAGTAGCCTGACTCACGATTTTGGTTATTATTTGAGGGTCCCAACTTCTCGAGCACATCTTTTGTACAACTGTTGTATCGTTAATAATTAAACATGTGTTTAATTTTTATTGGATAGATGTATACAAAATTGAGTGCAGTGGTAGTATATTAAAAAATTTCCAACTTTTTATGTGAATGAAGGAATTCTCCTGCAATCATTTAATATTATGTATTATTGATAAGAGAAATATTACTCTCATTTTATATAAGGTAACTTATCTCATTTTCTCTCACTTTGATTTTTGCACTTCATTTTTTTTTGTAATGGTGGGACCCACCCATTTTCTCTCTACAACATAAGATAACTATCTTATGTGAAAGAAGATTAATAAAACCCTATTGATAATGCATAATTATAATATTAAAGTTAATTTTTTTTCTCTTTTATATCAATGAACAACTTTTTTAGAAAAGAGAAAAAAAAAATTTAAAATTATAATTATTTACTACACATAAAACATAATCTTAATTTGTTATTAGAGAATACAACTTCTCTTAAAATATGAGAACTATATTTCCCATTATTTTATGGGAAAATATTTTTTTATGTTATTGAAGACATTATATTATGTTATAGAGATAAATATGTGGAATCTATTTTTATAAAAATAAAAATAAAATTAAAGAGACCCATGTATTTATCTGATATAAGATAAGATTTTTTCAACATGAGATTAATAATTCTCTTATTCTTTTTATAAATTGTTCAGGAATTCTACAAGTTGATAGGATGACTCTTGCAGGTGACTTTGATTACAACCTCATTTTGCACTAATCAAATAATATATGCTTGCTAGTTGCTACAAATGGAAATACATTTCAATATATTTAAATTATTAACAAACCTTACCTAGTAAAAATAATGCTTCTTTTTTTTTTTTTACAAATAACAGGTTATTTTACTTGGTGGCCAAAAACCTTGGAAAATTTTGTGATAATATTAAGTCTCATTATGGTCACGGATGTACAGAAAGAATTATATGTCTGAATCAAGAATCTTAAAAAGGCTCCGGTAACAATTGACATTTGGTAATGGCCATCAATTAATTTTACCAAAACCAGAGGCAATCTCATTCACATTAATGAGCCTATCGTGTCATCCTTCTGCTTTTGATGGTGTGTGTTCTAACTTTAGCTTAGCGACATGATCAAAATAGATGCCTTTAATTATTAATTAATTCGTATAACAGATCAAGCTGGATTGTACGTGGTTTTGGCTCAGATATGTCTTTACATAAGGCCTTTTCTTTAATAAATAACATTAGGCCTTTTTTATCCTAACCTCTGAATTACATTTTAAATAAAAAAAATTAAAAGTAAGTATATTATAAAGTTTTCAATAATTAAAGAAGGTGTGGTTAAAAAAGAACTGCACTTGATTCGGGTCCGGCCTTTTTTATAGGTATACACGGAAGCAATCAAACCCAAAATACAAGAAGCTAAAAAACAACGGAAAAACAGATGGAACTAAAAGGATCATTCTCGGACGCAGGCACTGATGATGTCAAAGGAAAAGGAATTTTATAATTTTTTAAATTGATTCAAAATAATTATTAAATAAAAAGTAACATTATTTAACTCAGATTTCATGTTCCAAACTAAAAGGATCATCCTCGGACGCAGGCACTGATGATGTCAAAGGAAAAGGAATTTTATAATTTTTTAAATTGATTCAAAATAATTATTAAATAAAAAGTAACATTATTTAACTCAGATTTCATGTTCCAATTTTTTTATTAAGAACCAAGTCCATGGAAAAAGGGTTACAACTAAACTAGAGCACTAGACCTCAGAAAGTTAAAACGTGGATTCTTTTAAACTTCTAGTTATAAGCATTTTATACTATTCTATAACTATTCCATCTCATTTCATCATGTAAAAGATGGGGATTTCATTTTATTACCAGCACAATTAAAATATGTTCATATGTAACATGTATCTCATGTAACATTAAAATAATTTCATTATGGGGTTTAGAAAAAAAAAATACAGATATTTTAAAAATTTTACTTTCCTCAGCATCTTTTTGGAATTGCAATAGAAACGTTAATTCCTTAAAATAGATACCCGTAAAAGTTACTTGAATTAACACGGCTCACTTAATGGTTAAAGCTTTCCACGAGGTTAAGTTATTAGCTTTGCAAGAAAGAAGCTGCGGCAAAGTGAAGATGTTCATGTTGTTACATTGATTTATAGTTAAGAATGAAGAAATTGATGATTTCCAAGTTATAGATCACATTTTAGTACCCACAACGAGACATTGGAGGGTGCATATCTTTTGGCTTCACCATACAACTTTCTAATTAACAGCTAGCATGGTCCAATCCAAAATCACACAGAAGGGAAAAACTTGTTGAGATTGAAGGGTAGAGAGTAAAACTCCTCACTCCTTGTATCTGTCTTGAATGAACGGAATCTGTCCCACCAGTGCATGCCTCTGTCTTTACGAGTTTGGTTGTCTTTCTTGTGCAATGTGGCATCCAAGAACAGTGCCAATGAACCAGCAACAAATGCTTTGGACGAGAATGGGACATTGATCATGTCGTTGAACTGCCAAAATGAGAAAACATAACTCAAGAACTACTTCCAAGTTTGAACATCAACTAATTAACAAAAGAATGCACATTCAATCATTAGAAGAAAGAGAGAAGCTGGATACCCATCTAGCGTGGGTGTGTACAGGACCATAGCCCTTAAATGCTGTGTACTCATTGAAGTATTGTGGTATAGAGAAGCCCATGAAAATAGAGAATCCTAAGATGAATTTAGTTCTAAAGCTGTTTAAATTGCAAAACTGAAGGAATCCGAGACCTGCAGAACCTGTGTTGTAGGAAAAAGGCCAAAAAAAAAAGAAATGGTGAACAAATCAAACTTGAATGAAACTATCAGATTCTGGAGTTCATCATACATACCCACATAGGCAAAGAAAAGGCAATATAAAGCTGCAACTATTGGCCCTGGGATTGAAGCAAAGACAGCTCCAAATTTTCCTGCATATATAATGGCATTTCATAGTAAGTACATTTGGTTCGCCAAGGTGAAAAAATATACTAAAATTGCTAGCCTTATGAACTTACCAAGTATGGAGAAAAAGATCATGAATCCAGCTGATATTTGAACAACCCTTCGGCTACCAACTCGTGTCAAAGCTAAGAGTCCAGCGTTCTCCCTGGAGAAAAGCCAAGAATGTTTCTTATAATGATTCATATATACTAACCCTATCAAGAACTCCAGCACATTGAGTTTTGAACAAGAATCTTACACAGATACTGATGATCCATTCCCTGTCCCAAAGATCCCAGATAACAAAATTCCTACCCCCTGATACACAAGAAATAGCAATAAATGATAATCTCAAACAATAACAAAAATGAAAATTTGACATAGCATCTAGAGCAAGCAGAAAACCAACAAGGCATGATTCGTATACATGCTGACATTCATTATGCAATTTGATGAAATGATTTAAAAGTCTTAATGTTATAATTTAGATATCACACAAAGAGAAGTCAAATAATTTAGGTGGTGAGAAAAATACTTTGAATTCATAAATTATGTTTACCTGCCATCCGACACCACGGCTAAGAACTGAAGGTGGCAATGGAGTCGCACTTGCATACCTTGAAACAGCAATAAAAGCACCAGTGGACTGTAGAAAATTGGAAATGTATGTGAGAAAAGAACCAATATATAGTATGCAACAAACTGCATAGAAATTTGTCTACACCAAGTTGGATGGTCATCACAAATTTCTTAAAAGTGAAGGGTTTATATCTTTAAATATCTGCTTATATCTTTAATAAATTATTGAGAACATATATAATGCCGTTCCTGTCTCAACTCTATAAGCATTCTACATATTATCAGATTAATGAGTCAAATGAAACAGATTCTAGCCAAAAATAAAAAATTATAATACAATAAATTGCAGGAAAATATGCTAATCACAAGGCTTTTTTTTACTAAACTACTACAGTTTTAAAAACTATTTACCCAAAAAAATGTAGTTAAAAAATAATTTACCTGTTTGGGATACATTTCGTCCCGTGGAATTTGGGTTTTTTTCTTGTGAGAAGTGTCTGGTGTGGCAACATGCCAACATCCCATCAATTCTCAATTCTCAATTCTCAATTCTCAACCCACTTCCGTTCATTTCCGATGCAATTAAGAGAATAGTTGAATAATTTAAAGGCCGGTGAAAAACTAATATTAAAAATAATCTAATAAAATTTTAATGACTTTTAAGACAATGTTATTTGTGATAAACTTTAAATTTTAAAAGTCAAGAAAAGTTATCATAAGTTTTTTTTCTCAAAAATCATGAAAATTTATATGATGGTTAATTGGTTATGTTAATATAGACAATGTATATTTAATTATAATTATATATTTATTTTTATTTTTTTTATAACAATTATATATTTATTTTAGTTATGTACAAACAAACAAATTGATTATATTATGTATCAAAAAAATAATAATTATATTTTCAACTTGGTTGTTTGAAAAATAAAAGATGAAATTATTTGAAAAAGATAAATATATTTATACCGATCTTAATTGTATAACTATATTAGATAATATTTTAATTACAATTTTAAAACTGTTTGTAAAAATAAGAGTGTTAAGTACAATTTTCTTATTGAAAAACAAAATCCTGAGAATAAATACAACTCTATCAAATACATACTTTAATATTATATAATAATTTCTCCAAATCTCAAAAAAATTACAGCGAGTGCAGTCCAACTATTCACATTAGTTAAATTGTGGTCAGTAATATTTTACAAGTCAATATAATATCTAACTATTTTCTTAATTGTCTTGGGAATTGATGGAAGTTGTTGTGGGAGGGGAAGGGATAAATGTTGAGTGCAACCGTTGCATTCAAGTCAGTGCAATCGGCCATCTATTCAAGTCACATTCAAAATGTTGATGTGATTTTTTTTTATCTAAGTATCACAAAATAAATATCCGGTTGCACTGACTTTCACTCAAACTTTACTCGAGGGGAAGGTTGAAGATTGAGAATCAGTGGCATGCTGCAAAGTGCAGTCATGCACGTGACATAACTGCGTGAGAGGCGCAACTCCACGTAACAGGTTTTTTTTGTTTTTTTTTTTAATTTGTGATGATAACAAGAAAATATTAAAAAAAAACTCAAATATTACGTAGCCAAATAGAACTTAAGCAAGGAGATTGTTTTTTAACAACATTATTTATAAATAGTTTTTAAAATTGTATTGATTTGGTCAAAAAGCCCAACTCAAAACAATGAGCTTCTAGAGAAGAGACAAAGTTCAGAATTCACAGCACTTAGTTCAAAGATAAGTATATAGTTAACATTATCACAAGCATAAAAAATAAACAAACCTCAACTAGAGCAACAAATGAAGCAGCCATCATAGCAAAAGCTTCTCCAGCATCAAATGTAGGAGCTCCCCATTGGAAAGGATACGGGACTCTAATCCTGATTAATATATTTTGCCAGAAGCAATACTTAGAAGTTAATCCATTCTTTCTTGTCATTCAAGACTATATCCAAAGAACTAAAAACAAGTTTCAAAAGTCACCAACAACTGTGTAGTCCAAAATATCCTTGCTGCTACATAAAGAAGAAACCATTTTCTATTATTAGAAAAACCACAAGGACCTTACCAAGGTGCAGCACTTATGATTCCAGCACGATCAGTTCTGCAAGTAATCTGAGTTGTAGGTGGTACATTTTTATAAGCTCCACCCACAGTAAGAAGAAGAGCATAAATCCACACAATTGCCACTGAGAATAGTACTGCAAAGCGATCAAAGATAGACTTTTCTCCTTTCATCACGTGAGGAATGTACTGTGCAAAGAAACATCACTATCTTTAGAATATAACATTTAAATTGAATAAAGAAAGAAAAGAGAAAGCAAGAACTAACAAAATTTCATCTCAGGTGCTCATGGTTATTTTTAAAAATGACCCTAAGGATGGAAGGAAAGGGAATTCAGCATCATGAAAATTATAAATCACCTGTGAAAATATTAGTAGGACTGCTATTTCTGGAAGCCCAATCTCCACACATTTTGCAAGCTAGAATTCAAAAGCCACAATCAAGAAAGTGGTGAATCATACCAATTGCAATTCATAAATGTAGGAAAGAAATAAGGACCATATCTTGTTGTATATAAACATACCACAGGAAAGCCCAACTCATAAAGTCCAAGGCCTGACAGAGCAACCAAAGGAACAGCAGAGAGAGGGCTTAAGAACCTAAACAAAAATATAGCAAATTATTCACCAAGATGATTTTAAGAACTTTAAGAATGTATAAAATCCTATATATCAGTGAAATTGCAATTGATTTCGACAAGAATTTAAATAATTAAATCTAACCCAAACAAGTAAATTGAAAACATCTCAACATCAGAAAGTAAAAGCACTGCATGGATAATCTTACAAAGCACAACGTGACTAAGATGGAGGAAAGAAAAAAAAAAATTTAAGTATCTAGACTAGAACCAACCTCACTACATTGCGCCAAAGGCCACTGAAGCCAACAACAATTTGGAGGGTTGAAGCAACAATAAGCGCACCCTGTGTTCCACGCATTATCCTCTCAAATTTCTGCATATTTATCACAAATCAGGTAAACAAGGATGGTGTGATATAACAAAAATGGCAAAACAGTGAAGAACAAGCAGGTTTGTAATGAACCAAACCAACCTCCTGAGGATTCACAATGTCACTGTAGCGACCAGCCAAAATAATTGAAATGGTAGTTGGCACAAAGGTGTAGGATCCTCCAATAACTGCAGGTAGACGACTCCCAAATAATGTTTGGAAAAATGTGTTTATGCCAGCCACAAACAATAGGGTCTGAATCATCTTTGCTTTCTCTTCCTATTGAAGCACAATTGAGATCTTTGTTAGACTTAGGAATCACACAGCATTATTGAAAATCACATGCTTTTTTTTTTTCCCCCTCTTCTCCTTGTCAAGACTTACATTTCCTCCTCCCATCTGGGGAACTAGAGACGTTGGTATTAAAACAGTTGTGCCAAGCATCACCAGGTAATGTTGGAAACCAAGTAGAATCGCCTCCGCTTCATTAACAATTAAATTCTAGACTCAATCATCAAATTGAATATGAAGATACACTTTTTTAAAAATTAAAAAAATTAAAAAAAAAAAAAAAAAAGTGCCTCAAAAACATAGAAGGACTAATGCATCTAAAAGACCTGAACTTTCACTCAAGTTGACAACCATAAGAAAACTCAAACTCACTCTAGCAGAACAGAAAGACTCTTCATACAGAGAGGAAGAAAAAAATTATCTTCAAAAGTTTTTCTACATATAGAAAGAAATCAAAGTGACAAATCAAAGAATTACCATGACATTACAAATAAATAATCATCCATGAAAATATGGGGCACAAAAAAATAAAATAAAATAAAAGACAATTCTTAACAAAGATAAAAATTGGTGTCAATGAAGCAGTAAACTCACGCCAGGGTGGAGGACTTGTGATGCAGTATGAAACGTTTGGTAATTGATCTTTCACAGGATGTGGCTGATGCTCTTCCTGTTTAGGCGGCGGTGCAGCTCCTCCCCCTCCTGCCATTCTTCTTCTCTTACCCCAATGAACTTGATCAATTCAAATGCACCAAAAACAACTGAAACCCCACAGTTCTCAGAACCCAACTAAACAAAAAGGAAAAGGTTAAGAAAAATCCAAGCTTTTTTTTTCAAACAAAATGTAGAATGATTAGAACAGGGACAATGAGAAGAAAATAAATAGTATAGAAAAGAAGAGACGAAGCAAACTGAACCCTTTTTTTGTGCTCTCTTTACGCTCTTTTGGAGTTGGAAATTCACAAAAAGACAATGAGCAAGGTCAGGGGTGACACACACCTTGTCAGTAACGTAATGCAATGCTTCAAATGCTAGAAGATTTCTTAGCCCGAGAACCCCTTGAAGTTCAAGAAAACCGAAAAAAGGTTAGAGTGTGAATATGTGGAAAAAGCAAAAGTAGGAGCCAGTGTCCTCCATTGCTTTAACATTTACAATATTTTAATTCCCTTTCTTTTCTTCAACAAAAAATGATAAAGTTTTCACATAAAAGCATCTTCACCTTCACCTTTATTAACCTCGAATTTAGTTTAGTATTTAACTAAGAATATTATTTGTCGAAATCTTAATTAATCAGAAGCTCACAAGAACCCCCTCTGTCACCCATTTCAGCATATAACCTTTTAACACAAAACAAAGTTTACCATTGCCTTGCCACCCCTTTTGCTTGCCTCTGTTACTAAGTACTATAGTACTGACTATAGTGACGCAAATGGTCAAAAGCTCTCATTTTTACCTTGACCCAGAATTTGAATCATTTTACAAAAATTCTGAAGAAAATTACTACTCTTTTGATTAGAGTCATAAGAATTTCGGTGAAAATTAAAAATATTTTGAAACTAAAATATGTTACAAGTAATCAAAAACTTTGAAATTTTTTACTTCTAAATGTATATAAATTTTGTCAAAATTCTTATAATATTCAAATGAGGAATGATAAATTTATTGACCAAGTTCCTAGATAACCATCACAATTTATTTTAGGATTTTATTAATCTCATGGTAAAGGAGATAGTTATCTCATGTCATAGAGATAAATTTGTGGGTTTCACCACCTGAAAAAAGAAAAGAAAAGAAAAATGTGACACAGTTATCGAAGGGTGTGTAGGAGAGAAAATATATCTTATGTAACATAAGAATAGTTTTTTCCTTTGTTTTAATGATGAAATTTGTAGAATGGAGAAGATAAAATATTTATTCTAATTGTTGATAGTAAATTTATGAACGAATTAGTGAGATTTTTTACACGGCTATGTTAGAAAAGACATTTGATAAACTATTCCCATTCAAATGAGTTATAAAATTTTTTTAGAAAAAAAAAATTGTTGCAAAATGAGGCACTAATGAGTCACTTGAGTGTTTCCTTTGAAAATTAATTAGAAGGTGCTGCTTGGTTGTAAATTGACACTTTTCCTAAGTTGCAGGTTTTGTGGACCCTCTAGTCGGTTATTTTCCACGTATTATCAAATATTCACACAGGTTGCTCCGTTATGTCTCGTTGTATGTATGCTTGCTTGCTCGACGGTTTTGCATGTCACCTTGGCACTGATCTGTCTTTCTTGGACGCTTCCTGCGCAAACTGGTAACGTGCCATGGCTTCTATGGCACTATAGCAAGAAATATTTGTCTCGCGGTAACATTTTCACAGTTATAATAAAAGAGATTTCCAAAAAAAAAAAAAAAAATAAGTTGAATGCGTTGAGTTTTAAGATTAAATAATGGAATTAAGTTCCTCCTACAATATGAGATATTATCTCATATAATTCTAAAATAATTATGAAAAAAAAGTAAGATATTTTAATAAAAGAACTCTTTTCTGTCCTTAGCAAATTTTACGATGGTCGCTTTAGTCCCTAGCAAATAAAAAGGCTGTTTGTGGTCTCTAATAAATTCAAAGTGGACCCATTTTAGTCCTTTTGAGAGACTAATGTGGGTCTTTTTTGAATTTGTGAAGGACCACGATTTCAACTAAATGAGTCCATTTTGAATTTCTTAGGGACCACGAATACCTTTTTATTTGCTAGGGAGCGGGTATCGTGAAATTTGATTAGGACCAAAAAAGATATTTACTCTTAATAAAATTAATGATACAAGAGGATACCAAATATGGTTGGTTCAAAGAGTACGTGTTTGATTCCGCTTAAGCAAAGCCTTGGGTTCAAATTCTTGTGAATGCAAAAAATTCTATTTAAGAGAGCTAGCCCGAGTACTCCACCATAATATTATGAATGTTTTCGGATCGAACAATAATTCCTACTATGTGGTTTGTGAAAAAAAAAATGATACAAGAGGATTGGTGAGCTAATCATTTAATAATGAGCTATTGTTATCGAGATGATTTTTGGATAATTTTAATTATCAAGGAAAAAGAAAGTTATGCGTAAATTCTATTGGGTTATTTAATAATATCCATTTGAGAGGATAACTTAGCGCCCGAGAAAATTCTCCACCTTGGATATCTGGTAAGTTTTTACTTTTGATTATGATCCTGGTTACTGGCATATATCCCAAGCCAGATGAGTCATTGAATGAACATTGATGGTACAGTGAGTCTCAGTAAGGAACAAATTCCACTATGGCAAATGGCAATGGTTGCCTTTCATAGATTTGGAATTTCAGGTTAAGCAACACTTATAAAAGTTGATGTGTGACTTTTTTCCTTTTTCTTTTTGTGATTAATATGTATATCCCACCTGTGAGTTTTAAATTTTAAATTAGTACTTTTAGTTGTTTAGAACAAAATTGATACCAGTTGGATGTTTTTATATTAAAATAAAAAAACAGAATCCTTTTCTATAGATCGAAGAAACGAGATGGCTCTTACATTCACACAATTCTCCTCCCACCAGAAAATTCATATTCTTGACGCAACTGAAGTCAAAATCTTCAAATTCTATCTATGGATTGGCCTAGTTTCTTTGGTGCTTTGTACTTACCTAGGGAATTCTTGTCTCTATCTTTTCTATCAATAAACATCAAAAGATTTTATTCCTTGCGCCCCACAGGACCCCCGAAATCTTCCTTTCATTATGCTCAACAAATAAAAAGATAAGTGTCTTGCACAGTGCCAACAATGTTCCTTTTCCCTTAATGACAAAGATGAAATTGAGATTTATTCATCTAATCTTTGAATCTCTTGAAAATAATATAACGGTCATGACAAGAATAAGGGCCTGGATGAACTTTTTTTTCTTTCAAAAACTGCTTTTTTTTTTCAAGAAATAAAGTACTTTTCGTTTTTAGTTCGTTTGGATATCTGCTTTTAAAAAAAGGAGAAGTCACAAAAAAAAGTCAAAAACTTACTTTTTTTCAGAAGCTAAAAATTTTAACTTCTAAAAAAGCAGAAGTCAAAAGTCAAATATTTTTTTCAAAAATTAAATAATTTTATAAAAATATAAATAGCTTTAACTTTTGTAAAAAGTACTTTTAAATAAGAAAGTGATAAAAACTACTTTTTTTTAAAAGATGAAACAAACAACCTCTAAGTAATATTATTCCTTTTTCTGCAGAAAATCATTTAGTATTCACTATCCACTAGGCACTATTGTTTCACCTTTTATACCTAAGTGAATCAGTCATTGTTGTTCTATAAACTAAAGAGAAAAAATATGTAATATATACACTTTCTACAATAAATTTGTCATTAATTGTACAAAAGTGTCAAATGAATGACGTGACGTAAAATTTCATTAATTTTTCTAACTATTAGCATTTTTATTTTATTTAAATTCATAATATTTTATCTTTTATATGCTTTTTATGATTTTTTTTGTATACTTTAAAGTATAACATTGAAGATTTTAAATTGATTCAAGAAAATCCAATAAACGTAAGAAGAGATTTTATCCAAATCAATTTTTGATCTAAAGTTATTTTAAAAAATTATTAAAAAAAGCCTAGAAAGATTTTAAAAACCAACAAAAGAAAAAGATTATTAACACATGCAGGAGGGGAAAAAAGGGTAACGGCAAGGATATAGGAGCAAAAGCAAAGAGAAATCAACGAGTTTTCTCAAGCTTCTTCTTTTGAATTTTCCCTTTATGTGATTCTTTTCATGGTATATGAAAAATTATAATTTCTTAATTCAAATATGGGAAAAACTATTCTTATGCAACATAAGAGTAGCTTATCTCCTATAGACCCATCGAAAACAGTGATACACTTTTTCTTTTTCTTTTCCTTTTTTGTAAATTGTGGGTCTCATCACATTTGTCTCTACAACATGAGATATTTTCTCTCATATAACATGAGATTAGTTGAGCCCTTCAAATATAGTGTTTTAATGTTGGGTTCATTTAATCTTATGTTACATAAGAGATCTTCTCTCATGTTGTAGAGATACATATGGTGGAGTCCGTCATTTAAAGAAAAAAAAAAAAGTGTCGCGATTTTCGATGGGTATGTAGGAGATAAAATTACTCTTATGTTGCGTAAGAGTAATTTTTCCCTTTAATATTTGCTATATAATATGGCCCATACATACAAATATTTAAGATATTGGGTGAGGAATTGAAAGATGAAATTCAATATGGAACCTCTGGAAATTAACCGGTAGATCAGTTGACAACTGAGCTTTCAAAAATTTGCTTGAGTCAAGAGTTCAAATAAGGTGATCGGAGGAGGTTAAATGGGGATACGCTCCAGATTATACCCAAAAAAAAAAATTAAGCTTAAGAATTTAACATCTAGAAATGGACTGAGTCCTTTGAGGATAAATGAATTATCAAAAATCTTAATTTATTTAATTTGATTCATATAATATCACAAAAGTAATTATTATTTTAAGTCTAAAATATTTCGTTGAACTTGAAAGCTAGAATTGAATTATAGGTTATATTTTTAATATTTGGGCGTTGGTCGCATTTATATTTAATATATATATATATAATTTTTTTTGTTACGTGAGTCATTGAAAATAAATTAATCAAAGAATAAAAATGAGTATAATACTTCTTATTTTTACATTGATTTAAGAATAATATGCTGCTTGAA